ATTGATGTTAACTTAACTCTATGTATGTAGGCTAGACTATATATATAAATTATTATTGCATATTACCTAATTATAATTTTAGTATAAAGATTGCTAATTTCAGCCAGAATTATATATTTCAAATTTTCCTTTATTTAGGAAAATACCTGAACTTTACAGCTTAATAATTTCTGATTTAAATATTCTATCAGAATAATTCCAATATTATTTTGTAGTTCTAATCAATATTTTTCAAATATATGCACTCAAAAATATTTTATTAAATTTTTAAATTTGAACAAATTTATTTGATGAAATGTTATTACTCAAACCATACAATATTATAAATAAAATAAATATTATAAATACCATTAATTAATTTCGCTGATTTGATTACAAAAAAAACCCCATACAACTCTAAAAACGCTTTACAGAAGCTGCACTTACACAAATTCCAAATAATTTACAGGCAATCAAATCTAATTCATCTATAAAGGATTTTGCAAAACACCAATATCTTCAAATATCACCATTAAATTGCTTATATGTACTATCATCAAATGGATATTTTTCCAAATGAAAATCATCAAATTCACATAAAATACAAGTTGATTCCTTTTCAAACTATGCTTGTTTGGGAATTCGAGCAAAAATACGAAAATCGTTTCTTTTTAACCAATCTATATTTATAGAATTTTCTGATATGAACTTTATTTTTTCTTAAAAATTCTTAAGAGTTCAAAACCCGAGATGGATTGCCTATTAAGAGAAGATTACAGGGAAATTAGTACCAAGAAATATCCAGCGATTTTGTCAGAATTGTGACCTATTTAATAATCTATTTCAACGATATGAAAAGATGAAAGCACGGAATGGTGATTATGGTTCGATGGACCGGTAAAATCAGACAATTATAGATATTTTCAAACTTAACTTGTTTTGAATCTTTTTCGCTGAACGTTAGCAATCTTACGTTGTGCCAAAAAAAAAGGTACTTGGAGGATCACATATTCATGAAGTATATATTAACGAATGTCAGGATAACCAAATAGTGGACTTTGCAGGTCTTTGAAAATGTTGACGCGTTTTTTTTTTAGCTGGAGATATAGCACAATGTATTGCCCGAGGGTCTTCTTTCCGATTCCAAGATACATACGAATATCCTTTTAAGAATATAGATCGATACTTATTATCTGTATTTTCTGTATTTTCTTAATACTCCAATATAGATTTACGCGCCTTTGATGTATGAATGGGAAATTTCTCGAATTCAAACCAATCAGAATCGGCGCGGCATTGCAAAACCAAAACAAATTGAACTAAATGTTAACTACCGTTCTCATAACGAAATCCTTCAATATGCCTCTTAAGTAACCGATCTTATCTGGCGCTTTTTTCCTAAATCTATTGACCTATTGTCACGTGAACGCGGTGAAATCGGCTCATCGTCTTTGGCGGGTTTCAGAAAGAACATTTAAAGTCTTCTATGTGGCGAACACATTCGAAAGGTTTCGACTTTTGTCAAAATGGGATTTGGGTTTTGCCCCGCAACTTTAGTTGAAACATATTTTTTTTTAAATAAATATCATTTTTCGTCTTCCATACTTTTTGCTAAACGAAATGAACAAGTAAAAAATACACCACGTTTAAATTACATAAAAATAAATTTATCCCTATTATCAGTATTAACAAACGCCATAATCATGGCATTTCATTCTTCATGGATGAGAAATAAGTTTATTAGAATAACGAGATCAACTATTAATTGCAAGGTTGGTTATTATTCTACCTTTTGAGGTAGGATATATACAATAATTAATTTTTTTTTACGAAAAAAAGTGTTTATTAAAAATTTGTTTTTATTTTATATGCATCTCGTGTTTCTTGTAAATTATTATTTTCATGTGATAGCAGATATACCGCAAGAAGTCCAATTTGCGATATACCTTTCCAACGTAACGTTGGAAAATGAATTACCTGCTTTTGGATGAATTTTGTCTCAAAGTCCTGATGATGCTAGTTTATTTAGGTTTTTTTACTGCTGTTGATGTTTTAAAATATATATTTTCTAATTTGTGAAAAACAAAGTGACTAATCCTTGTGATTGATAATCTAATAAAATATACCGTGACGTTTTAAACTGTCACACATCAAAAATTTTGTTATAAAAAGAACTATTTTCCTGATTATCTCGAATAAATCATTTTTTTTTAAGAGTTCTTATTCCTCGTGAAATAACTTTTCCCATATTTAATCTCGCTTCTTTGATTGATCTCTTTATTAGTGTTAGTTAAAAGCATATAATGGAAATCGAAAGATTGGAAGAACCATATTCAATTTCATTTAGAGACCCTGAATGGTTACTTACGGTCTGCAATTTTTATTTTTTTTCCTCTTACTTTCTTTTTTTTTTAAACGATTTTTTTTTTTTTTTCTTATTTAGCATCACGAAGGATTGACTCTAGAGAATGTATTAGAATATTTTGCAGAATCTCCATTTTGGGATCCTCAAAGCAATAATGAAATTCTTAAAATGCAAACTAAATTTAGTACTTTAAACTCTTTACCTGATCATAGGCCTTCTTTGGATATAACGTAATTTATCTGGTTTAAAAGCCATTATTACCGTATTTCTCCTTGGTTTTTTTTTTTTTTTTTTTATTCTTTATATTTATTTTAGGAAGATGATAGGTGTCGAATTCGCTATTGAGCAGGCAAATCCTCCATCTTTCTTTTTAATTAAAAAATGGAAGAGAATCAGCGAAACTGAAGGTACCGATCAAAAACATCTAATCTTTTTTTTTTTAAAAAAAAAAAAAAATAATAATTTGTGGAATAATTATTTTGATTTACAGCAATACCTTTAGCAACTTATTATATAATTCGAGGAATTATATATCAAGCACCAGATTTACATACGATAATTGGACGAAGAATTGTACGTAATTCTTAATGGACTAATATATACACATATATATATTCTTTAAATATTTAACCTTTAAGATTTTGTTTAGTATTCCAGTTTATATCACCTTCATAATGTTTTCAATAATATTCGTGAACACGTAAATTTTCATCCTGCAACTGGTTACACCTGGAAAAGTAATGAAGATGACAGCCATGCGACTTTAGGAAATTCAAGAAGTATGCTATAGACATAAATATACATGGATTTTTTTTATAAATTGGAATTTTTAAATTGATTTATATTTTGTCATTAGCCATACCTTTAGTAGATAAAGGCTTGAATGAATTTCGTCAAGCAGCCGATATAGCATATTATTCTGTTACACGCAGATTATTTGAGGAACAAGAAAGAAATATTGCTAGTGTTCAAGAAGACAATGAACGAGAGCGTGAACGAATGAATGCAGCTCTATTACTTCAACAAACTGCTCTGGAAGAAGAAAAGACAACCGACGAAGTATGAACTTTTAAACTTTTTTCACTTTATAGTCTTGATGTGTTAAAAACTAACATAATAATTTTCTAAAGTCATCGGAAGGGCATACTACAAAAAAGAAAGGTAAATAAATAAAGATTTTTATTTCAGATTTTAAAAAAATATATATGATTTCAGTTTATAATCCTTATAATATTATTATATAGATGTTAAAAAAAAGAAACGGAAGAGGGCAAGAATATCTGATGAATCAAAGACCGGAACAAAAAAGAAGAAAAGGAAGTAAGCGTCTTCTTCATTTCAAACCATCGTATAACGAAATTTATCTCACATTAATATCTATTTTAAATTAGACATGAAAAGAAATTTCACAAGTTATCAGATTCTGATACATCAGTGAAGGATATCTCACGAAAGAATAGCATTTCTGGATCAACGCCCGGTGATTCTGTTACGGATTTTTAAATCGAATTTTTTTCTTTATCAAAACAATCGTAAGTTTAAAAAAATGTTCTGACTGCAATATTTATATTTGCTTGCTATCTTTACATCTTTATAATTTTTTTTTTTTTCTTTTTTTGAGAACGTGTTATTAAAAATAAAATTCTCAAGTTCGTAATTTTTTCTCCTAAATGACATTCCATCCTTTTCTTTTTATCAAGAGTGCCCAACTCTATTTAATAAGTAATACAGAAAATTTATCATGAACGAGTTCAGCCACGTGACTGATTGTAAGCGACTTGATAAAGAAAAATTCCCGTTTTTTATGATGACTCATATCGCTGCTTTTCGGGTATACTCCTTTTTATTCCTTTTTTCTCTTTAAAATTTATTATTTTAATTATCTATATCTATTATTTTATTCTTACATAATAAAATTTATTTTTAATTCTTTTCACATAATAATTTTCATAATTCATAAAAAAAGTAAATAAAATTCATTGATAGTTCTCTATCAAATGAATATGAAGTAGGTATATAATTGGTAAGAGCCTTTAAATCTACATTTGATAGATCATCTTTAAAGTAATACCCAGTAATAATTAAATATTTTACAAATTTTTATTAGTTATCCAAATAAATGAATAGCAGTGTATAGACAAACTTCTTAAATTTTAACATTTAATTATATATGTAAATCTGAAGAATTTATAATTAATAGGATCAAAAACTGCTTTTTAGTAAATACAAATAGATTAATTGAATATAAAAAAATATTTTTTTTTAAAAAAAAATACATTATAATGATTAATGAAAGAATTATATTTTTATCATTCATTTTTTTTAATTAGAATAATTTACTATTTAAAATTTATTTATTTAAATAGAAGTTTACTATTAAAATCATATTACAGATTATATAATTTATTATATTTGTAATTTGATTAAAATAGCAAGTCTTATATATATTATCTGTAAAAAAATTAATTATTAAGAATTGGTATTTTTAATTTCGTTGATAACAATCTTATTATAGGTTATATCATAATAGTCATAAATTTAAGTTTTAAATAAAATATAAAATATTATAAGAATTTTATTTATAACTTAATATGTAACAGTTATTTATCATAAAATTAAAGATATTATTAGAAATTATAGCAGAATTATGATTTTTGAGAAATCAATTATTGAATAATAATTAACTAATATATTTTATAATTTACTAACATTCGTGATAAAATGATTATATAATAATTGATCATATATTATTAACAATAAATTAAGCTTTTCATTAGTAATTAATTTTTTTTACAAATCTTTTCTTTAAAATTCAAAATGAAGTCAATTAAAAATATATAATATAATATTACATATGAGCTATTAAATAATTCATATTATTAATATGTAATTTTAAAGATCATAATAGTAGATACAACATAATTATTCTTTTTAATTGTATAATAAGATATTTATAATAAGTTTAATATTCAATATTAAGTCAAATATATATAGTAATAATTTACTTAAAAAATATTAAATAAATAAACAAATGTAAATACTAAAGATGACGCTGCAACTAGTTGCAACTATGTAATGCTTATTTGTCACCAGTTGCAACTAGTTGCAACTCAATTTTTATTAATATTGCAACTAGTTACAATCCTGTAATGCTTATTTATCACCGGTTGTAACCAGTTGCAATACCATTTTTAGTAAATACTTAAAGTTTAATAATAAATATAAGTTTATTAATATAATAAATAGCTAATAGTTAAGAAAAATAAATAAATAAAATAAGAACTAAAAGAAAATAAAAGAAATCAAGATAATGTTTTAATATAATTATTAAAAGAAGTAGGAGAATAAGAAGTCTGAATTTTATATCTTAAAAATAACGTATTTATATAAAATAAAATATATATAATAATAAAATTAATCAATTTTATTATAATAAATTATCTGACTAGATTGATCAAATCTTCATTATAAGAAAATTTATTATTACTATAATAAATTATTTAGTATATATAATAAATAATTTATTATAATAATAATATTAACTAATCAGACTAATTAGAACAGTTCAACTAATCATGTAATAGTAAGTTAAAAAAATTTTTTTTATTTTTATTTATTTATTTTACAAAATTTTTTAATTTAAGATTTTTTTTATTATATTATATAATAATTTTTACTACTATATAAATTATTTTTCTTTTATTATTTCTTTTTTTATAATTGTTTTATTTTGATCTGTTAATCTTAGTTTTTTAATTTTAATATTTTAATCCTATATACTAAATCCTTAATAATAATACTATATCTCATGTCAAAACTTGTTTCTATTTTAAATTCTTCATACTTCTTATATCAAAATTTCAATAAATATTATATATATTTTTTAATTTTAAAGAATAATTTTTTATTTTAGACAGAAAGGAAAAAAAAGTTTTATTTAATCAGTTTTTATTTTTTTTTATTTTAAGACTGATCTTTTTTAAATCTTAAAAACTAGCTGATAAGTTAATTTTTTTCTTAATAAAATATTTAGATTTCTTTAGAATTAGCTCTTTTTAAAATTTAAAAATCAATTAGTAAATGATTCTCTTCTTTTTAGAATGAATATTAGGTTTTTTGAAAATATTTATTAATGTTCTTTTTTTTCTCTTTTTAGAATTAGTTCTTTTTGAATCTTAAAAACTAACTGGTAAGTTGATTCTTTTCTTTTATAATAAATTTTGAGCTTTTTTGAAAATATATTATTAATAACTTTTTTTTAGGATTTGTTTTTCTTTAGTTCTTGAAAACTAATTAGTAAGTTGATTCTCTTTTTTAAATAGTAGATTTCTTTGAAAAAGTTTACTAATATTTCTTTTCTTCTTATTTTTAGAATCAGCTTTTCTTTGGATCTTGAAAACTAACTGATAAATTAAATTTGAGATAAATGAGTTTTTTTGAAAATATTCATTAATGATTTTTTTTTCTCTTTTTTAGAACTGAAATTTTTAAATCTTGAAAATCAACTGATAAGTTTTATTTTTTTTTTTTAGAAAGAATGAAAACCTTTGAAAAAGTATAATAATATTCTTTTTTATTTATGTTTATAAAACTAATATTTTTTAAAATAATATCTATTTTTAAACTTTTTATTATATTGAAAAAATTTTTTAATTTATAAATAAATTCATTAAAAAAGGATTATTTTATATATATTTATTTATAAAATTTTTTTTATATATTATTATACAGTTATAACTAATAAACTTTAATATAATAAGATTTTTTAATATAAAAAGAATCTATATTATATTAAAAATTCATTATATTGTAAAATTTGTTATATTAATTTCTGTATATTAAATTATAAAAATTTATAGTAATTTATAAAATATATATTAATTAATATTATGATATATAAATTTGAGTTACAGTTAAATGAGAAAAAAGTATACTATTTATATAAATGTTAAAAAATTAGATAATTTTAGACAATTTTAGATAGTTTATGAATATATTTTCTATATTTAAAATCTTGTCTAAAATATTTAAAATCATAAAATATATCTAAAACTTAATATTGATTTATATATATTTTATTTATGAATTAACATCTAGTTTGTTATACTACTATTTATTTAATATACACTACCTACCCAAAAGTTTAGGACCACCCCGATGATCTACATAAACAGTAAATAAACAACGAATTTTATGTAA